TTCCCCGCGTGCTATGGTTTCCTCCAGCTGTCCAAAAATGTGCAAATTAGCTGGATTGGCCATGGGAAATGTGGAGTTATGGGGGTAGAGTGGGGAGTGAGGTCGGGGGTGGGGGAGTGAGGGGGGTCGGGGGTCGGGGTGGGGGAGTGAGGTTGGGGGTCGGGGGGGGGGGGTGGGTGGGGTGGGTGGGGAAGAGGAGCGGGGTGTGGTGATGGTGGGTGGGATTGCTGGGTCTGGGTGTGATGCTCTTCAGAGGGTCATTCCAGACTTGATTGGCCAAATGGCCTCTTTCTGCACTTTAACACCATGCAGTATCACATAATTTCTAATGACAAATTAGCATTAGTTTGTCATTTCAGTATGAGAAGAGAATAGAATTCCTTCATATTATGTAGATTGTATCAGATAGATTTGCCAGCTGTCTGGAAAAGCGAAGTGCTGTTGTCACAGTCTGATTTAGTTGTGCTTTTATTGAATTCATATTGATGCTTGTTGCTTCTTTTATGGGGCATGGTATGGAGGAGAGAGATAGGAGCTTTGTACACATTTTCCAAAGTATGGCAGAACTGATGGCATGGAAAGAAAAATATATCTCTGGATATGAAGGTCGGTGGTGTTATATCATAAATTATATGCTAGGCATCCAGTCACTGGTAAATTGAAGTTTACTGACGTGAATTTCAAAGAAAAATGCTGTAAGCATGCAATAGATCAGACAGCATACAATAAAAAAATAGAATTAATGTTTCAGGTCAGTGGTGTTACATCTGAACTGAAACATATTAGAGATGAAGAGTAAAGAAGTTTGGATGCATTGTTATTTTATTTCTATGCATAAATTTTTGCTTCCAAAAAGTGCCTCTGGCATGTTCAAGGTTCTGGTGCTGGCTATGCCACATACCACATTTGTCTTGGGGCGTTTCATCCATGTGAATGGGGTATATATTAAAATATTTAAAGTAGACTTTGTGACATCAGTCATCAGTGTTTGAGTCTCTGCTTCGTGAGGGTAGTCCTCACTAAAACGTACCACCTGCGCGCTTGTAGCATGGCATTGCTGGTGACTGTGAAGATGGCTCCTTTTCCAGGCTAATGGAAGTGATATTTGCACCGTCTCCCAATTTGTTATCTACTGCGCAATAGGGAGGTGACGAACTCTCCAAGGCAGAGTTTAATGCATTTAACTCCTTGCTAGAGAGAAGCAGGGAGACTGGGCATATGGTTGTGAGAATTGCAGGGTGCCACTGACTGCATGTTGCTTGTGGATACCACCATGTCAATTCTCACCTGTACTGCAACCAAAAGGTTTGTTCAATTTGACAGTGATGCATGATGCCTTTATTTGACGCTGCCTATTGTACCATCTGATCTTAACCAGCAGCACAAAGTAATGGGAGGTTATTGAGTTATTTCTCTGATATACAGATCACGCATGTGGGCAGTATGAGCATGATGAAAGTTATGGTGCTACAAGAAATGTGATAAAGCAAGTCACTGATATGCTGAAATGATGTGTCAGTGACCTGGCTGCTGAGGTAAGAGTCTTGCACTGTTCAGCAAGTATATGTTAAGATTCTTTGGGATCTGTTGTGTACTGCACTGCAGCAATATAATTACACACACGCACACGCACACACGATAGCAGCTAAAACATTAACTCTAATTTTTCTTCATGGATGCTGCCAGACCTGCTGAGCTTTTCCAGCAATTTCAGTTTTTGTTCCTGATTTACAGCATCCACAGTTCTTTTGGTTTTTAAAATTGGTGAGTGGCTGCACCACCAATCACTGGCTGATTCTTTTCCATTTACTGGTGATAGGATCATAATGAGCCTATATGAACAGCAAATGCTGGAAAGAAACGCCCTATGATTGGACAAATGGTGGGCAGTTAAGAAAATTATTGGCAGCAGTGAGAGAGTTGCCAGTGAATTCAGGTCTGCCTTTAGTCCACGCTGGGAGGCTGCTGAGGGGAGAACATCATATCAAGGCTGTGACGGGGAGCCAGGAGCTGCCATTTGTCAGTGCAGCAGTCTGCCTTAGGGAGGGGAGGATGCTTTTGCTGCCGTAGCTGTCTCAAGGAGGGCATATGGTAGTGGTAGAGAAGGCAACTGCGCAAGGGTGGAGGGTAGAAGGAATCTCCAAGGGATGGAGAATGGGTTAGTTTGCAGGGCAGAGTTGGGGGTTTGGGCTGGAGAGAAGAAGTGGGGCTCTGAGATGGGATTCTGCAAAGGAGATGACATTTTTAAATAAATCAACAAAAGAATACTCGGCTAACAGGGATCAAGGAGTAGTTGAAATCATTGACACAATAAATTCCTTACAAATGAATTGCAAAAACTACACATTTTACTTGGAAATCTAAGCCAGAAAGTTGACATTTAGATTGTTAGTTTTCTTTTTACAACTTGTAGAGAGACTGGCACTGCATGTTGTTCTTTTCCTGGCACTGGATTTTATGCTTCTGGGATTCACACTGACACCAGGTTTGTTTGGGTGAAAAGGAAGTAACTGCCCAAAGCAGCTTATGCATTGGTTGTAAATGGCAGTTTGTCACCTAACTGAAGAGAAAGCTTTTAGGACTTGGACCTTCACAAACCTGTCAGAAAGTGAGCTTTCTAAGTTTAAATGACATAAGACTCAAATAATTTGCAAAAAATAACTGCTAAGTCAAACCAAGACCCAAGTCCAATTGGCTGGTTAGCAAATGGAGATCCTCGTGGTTAACAATAACCGAAAAAACTGAAAAGGGACTGAGAAAGTCACTCATTTGATCTCTTTTGGTTTAGGCTTATCTGCAAAATTTATGCCTATTTGCCTAAATTTCCCATTCACAATATTCTTGCCAAGTCTTGGTCTTGTCAGTTCTGTTGATAAGGTTGTTATAGTGTTTTTTGTTTTACTGTTTATTGGTGAAACCAGATGTGAGTTTCCTTTATCTTAGATGATGGTCACAATTAAGCATTAACCATCCTAGAGCTTAAATCGGTAGTATGTTAAACTTGTGACAACACATGGAATAGTGGGGTGTGATTTCCAGCAGAATATAACCCATCAGAATCAAAACAGAATGTGGAATCCCTACCTTCAAGTAACAGTTGCTCAGGAGTTCATGTTCTTGGAAAATCTATTATGCATGCTGTTGTAATGAACACTGGATCAGTTGTTAAATATAAATCCAAGATCGAGATTGGAGATGCAGTAAATGAGTAGTAACTGGGTTTAAAAAGTTCTAGTTTTGTGCATGCCCATAGAAATAATTTAACTGTGACATCACAGGGAATGAGGCATAAAGAATTTCAATCAAGATGGCTGTTTGTGGAAGCTGTTTTTAGGGTGATGGATATTTGTGTGCAGAAATGTCATTCATTTTGAAAGAACTTTTGCTAACTTATGCCTGCTGTCTTGTACCAATTTAAACACTGATCTCTAAGCAATTAATGGTCTCCTTGTGTGTTGTGGGTTGATATGGGTGTGATGGAAATGCAGAAAATGGGATGGAGGATAGACAGGTGGAGAAACCCTTCAACAGCAGTGGACAGAAATCATCAACTGAGCAAAAAGGAAGATATTTTGGAAGCATAATTGTAGAAAGTGACATTCTCAGAACACCCGTGAGAGAAATTGGAAAATGGAATGTAGTCCTCACAGGGAATGAGGTGTGAAAAATTTCAGTCAAGATGGCGGTAGAATTCAGCGGGTGTGCAGTAGATAATGGCGGACAGCCCATTCCCTTTTAATTGAGATTTTTAAAAGTCAAAGAAGGGAAGAGATAGCGAAGGATATGAGGACTGGAAGATGGAACAAAAGTTGATAAAGTTTCAGGTAAGAGCAGGAAATGGCATTAACACAGGCGTGAGTGTGCTGGACAAAGAGGTCAGGAGTGTACTTGAGTTTGGTTTTTTTTAAAAGTTTATTCGCAGGATTGAAGTGTCACTGACTGTTCCAGATTGGGGAAAAAAAAGTTACACATTTGGCACTCAATGATAAGGCAGACATACTTAGGTCCTATTCAACACAGTTTATTTGGAAGTAGTGATTAAAGCATGAGAACAAGTTCTGTCAGACTCATTTTTGGAACCACATCCCTATTTTTGTAAGATATAAGTTACAACTGAAAGTACGCTACATAGATTTCAAATTAAGTTGCACAATTCACATTTCAGATCCATCCATGATATTCAGCAATCCTCGAACGACACCGCTGTTTTCTGTGATCCCTATTTTATGCCATGGCCAATGAGCCACATTCTTTGAGCTTCAGCATTTGAGATGCCCTGGCTTATTCTCTTCATTCCTGCTTAGAATGCTGTCCCCTGGAAACAGTACTGACAGCTTGGGTGACTACTTTGCTGAACACCTGCATTCAGTCCCCAAGAGCTCCTCGTGAATTATTATTATAGCTTTCTGTTGCACAATGACTTTGCTGTCCTTTACACTTTCAATGATAAATAAAGGACACAAGCACAATGATCAGCATCTATCTGGTAGGCACTCTACAGTCTTTTGGCCTCACTAGTGAACAAATAGCTTTCCTTCTGAACCACTGCTTCCATTTTAGCATGATAAAATCCTCAAAATTCAGATATAGGCCATTCAGTCCATTGAGTCTGCACTGACATTGAAGACCATCCCACCCTGAACCATCTCCATAATCCCTGCATTTACTAAACCACTTAGCCTGCATATCCCTGGACACTATGGGCAATTTAGCATGGCCAGTCCACCTAACCTGCGCATCTTTGGACTGTAGGAGGAAACCTTTAGCACCCGGCAGAAACCCATGCAGACATGGGGAGAACGTGCAAACTCCACAGGGATAGTTGCCTGGGGCTGGAATCAAACCCAGGTCCCTGGCGCTGTGAGGCAGCAGTGCTAATCACTAAGCCACCGTACCACCCATATCCAGCATATTCTAGTCCATCTATCCAGCATATTAATATAAAGGATTCTTACGAATTATTCATTAAATTATATGTAATTATTTCTGTTTTTTCTTAGTAATGAATGACATTATCAGCACTATGTTTAATAAGAAGTTCATGGAAGAATTGTTCAAATCCCAAGAACTGTATTCCAAGAAAGCCCTAAGAACAGTGTTTGATCGACTGGCTCATGCCTCCATTATGAGACTTAACCAGGCCAGCATGGACAAGGTGAATGGATCAATCCACAATAAATGCAATATTTAATCCTTACAGCAATATGGGAGTATTTTGGCAATAATATACGTAAATACAGGGCCTACTGTTATTCAGAAAATGGTTTGTAGTCTCCTGTAACAGCATTGATCAGACCAAGCTGTTGGGAGCAACCACTGTTCATTGTTTTGGATGCGTGAGTATTAAATAGTACTGTGGGAAAAAAAGGAGTAATCTGTCAGGCTCTCGACCGTGTAATCAATGAAAATTCACAATTCCAGCTTAAACACTAGCCCTACTTCATCCATCATAAAAATATGTGGATGATGCCATTGATAGCCAAAGCCAAGTGTCACACCTCTGGAGGGGTGGGTAAAAGCAGAAATAATTCTAGGGTGATACTTGTTTCCAGAAAAGAATGTTGTTTATGTAATCTACTGTGCAGTAAGTATCTGAGCTTTGTTTCCATATAATCTCCAGCTCTATGACCTGATGACGATGGCTTTCAAGTACCAAGTACTGCTTTGTCCAAGGCCTAAAGACATCTTGTTGGTCACATTTAATCATATGGATGCAGTTAAGGAATTTATTCGTGACTCGCCAAGCATTCTCAACCAGGTAGATGAGATATTCCGACAATTGATCGAGGTGGGTTTTATCTTCACGTGATATTAAGTCGGTGTGGCTAAGGTAAATATTGGTCCAGGCATGGAAATTGAAAACATCATGCCACACACAAGGCTGCAGGCATAATTATGTGAACTACCTATCAGGAATTGCTAAGACAGATGGTGGGGAGGACTGTTTCTGGACAGGTTCCTTGACAACATGCAAGAGCTTTGGGAGAGTGGTCAAGGATTGATTATTTTTTAAGGAGATAGGTAATGACAGCAGGAAAGGAAGGGTCCAGGAGCTGAGAAAAAAGGAAAGTTCACAAAATTGGTTATCAGTGGGGCCAGGAAGGCAAGTTGAGTGATCAACAGTTTTGTGGGAATAGGTTCAAGACAAAATCATGAGGCCATACATAGAATTAAAAGAGAAATTAGAGAAAGATGCAAGTTTAAAATTGAAGCAAGCAGGGAATCTTAGAGGATATGGCAAAGTGCTAAGACAACCAGCAGGAGGGGAAAAACCTACTTGACCTAAATCTGAGTAACCTACCTGTTACAGATGCATCTGTCCATGTCATTATTAGTATGAGTAACCACTGCACAGTCCATCTGGAGACAAAAGTCTAGTCTTGGTAATGAGCACACTCGTATCATGCTGTGTGGCACTATACGATATAGGATAGATTCAGAACAGATCTAGCAATTCAAAATTGGCCTTCTGTAAGGCACTGTGAGCTGTCAACAGCAGCATGATTGCATTTGACCACTATCTGTAACGTCATGGCCTGGCACATCCCTCACTCTACCATTACCATTAAGCTGCCAACCAACTTTGGTTCATTGAACAATGCAGGCATAACTAAAAATATAATGCCAACCTGGTGAAGCTACATCACAGGACTACAAACATGCTAAATAGCAGAAGTGGCACATTGTAGACAGCTAAGCAGTCCCACAGAAATAGACCAGATCAAATCTCTCCGGTCCTGTCACATCCTGTTGTGAATTGGGTTGAACAGTTAAACAGCTAACTGGAGAATGAGGTTTGACTATCATTACATAGATGGGTCAACCCAGCACATTAGTGCTGAAGATGAGTCTAAAGTATTTACAATCACCTTCAACCATGATGTGGAGGTGCTGGTGTTGGACTGGGGTGGACAAAGTCAAAAAGCACACGACACCAGGTTATAGTCCAACAGGTGTGTCAGACATGATCTCCCTTTGATGAAGCTGTGCTAACACAGCCCTATTTCACTATGTGCTTCCATGTACTCCACAATCTTATCCTTAATAATGGACTTTTCGTCTCTACTTCTGGTTTTAGAAGGGAAGATCACTGATGAAGCCAAATGGTAGTGAGGCTGAGGACACTACCCTGAGGATCTTGTGAGATGAATGACCTCCAAAAACCACAACCATTTTCCTTTGTGTTTGGCTTAATTCAAACCGTTGGAATGTTTTCCTTTGATTACCATTGACTTCAGTTTTCCCAGGACTCTTTGATGCCACACTTGGTCAGATGTTCCCCTGATTTTAAGGGGAGGTACTCTCACTTCCCATCTGAAATTCAACATTTCCTTCCATGTTTGGAAAAATGCTGTAGTGTGATCTGAGATGCGGCCCTTGCAGAACCCAAATTATTGCTGAGTTAGTGCTGCTCAAGAACACTTATCAGATTAGAAGGAATTTCTTCAGCCAGAGGTGGTGATTCTGTGAAACTCATTGCCACAGAAAGCTGTGAAAACCAAGTCATTGAGTGTCTAAGATAGAGACACAGACAGGTTCTTAGTTGGTATGGGGATCAAGGGTTTTGTGGAGAAGGCAGGAGAATGGGGTTGAGAAACATATTAGCCGTGATTGAATGGTAGAGCAGATTTGATGGGCTGAATTGTCTAATTCTGCTCCAATGCCTTATGGTCTTGTGTTTGCTGAGTTTATATGTTATTCAGTGCTTTTTGCCACTCTTTTGATATTGGAGCAGTCATTGCCCACATGGACAACATTGAGGCTTGGGTTGCTAAATGAGAAGTTACATTATTGCAACAATGGTGGAAGGCAATGACCATCTCCATTGCATAGGTGTGTTCTAGGGGTTGGAGAGGAGGTTAAAAACTTTAAAGAGATGGTGTGGTAGTGAAGAAAACTCACTGGGGGGTTGTCTTTGCATTCCAGAATGAACCTGGAGGTCAGTGATTTTGGTAAAGACGAGTAGTACTTAATGGGGCTTGTTGTGGGTCCAAGCTGATAGTGAATAGCTAAACTGGTAGTGTTTCAAACTTCAAATGTGTCCTTTGGAATTGAAAGTGAAGGTTGTAGCCATACCAAGAGGAATGACCGTGCTGAGTGTGTGTGTATGATGTTGCTGGTGACAAGTGCAACAGAGCTGGGCTGAGATTGCGATTGGGCTTCATTCACTGATGTAAACTCCCACAGAAACATATGACCCCCATTCTCACCAACATACATGTACGGTTTCTTCATGCAAAAGATGTGAGCTACCAGACAGAAAAATTGTCCCCCCACACCCGCTCCCTGCAATTATTCTTCTCATATCTATTTCCCAATATGCTGGAAACTGCAACCTCAGCTCTTTAAATGTCTGAGCTTGCAGAACAGATAAATATTGTCCTCTTCAAGATTAATGTAGATCAGTCAATGAGGTGCTGTTTTGCAGCAATGAAAGGGAAATTGTTTTCTGCCTTTCAGATGTGGAAAATTTAAAGAACTCTAATTTTAAAAAAATCAAGATAGCACAAGCATGCAAAGGTAATAGGAGTCGTCAAAAATAACCAGCTGATGAACAGCTCCATGCTAGGCCTTTGGAGGAACTGCATAAATTCTGGCTTGGGCACCAGAACTGATCTGGGTGGGGCATTTTCTCAACTGTGTTCAGTGCTGTGAAACACTTTGTATGTTTCTGATTTGGTACATAATGCATGTCTTTTTGCCTTTCTCTGATTGACAGACATACAGCTGCCTGCCTGCAGGAGAGTTTCAACTCATCAGACAAACGCTGCTGGTTTTCTTTCAGGATCTTCATATCCGAGTAAGTGCGCCAGGTCCCTTCCAGGTCTGTGATCCACCATGTACACAACAGATGGAACTTATTGAGCCTAATGCTTCACAGTTGTATTGCAGAATGTTTACTGCACAGGCAAAGAGCAGATGAGAACTTTATGCCTTTTTTTTGGTCTCTTGCAGTGATCAGAGCACCAGGACCATGTACAGAAAGAGGGGCTAGTATTAACTTTGGTCATTATTGCAAATTGTTCACATTTGTACATTGCCCATTTTTTCCCTTTTGATTAAATTTGGAGTTTGCTTATCATAATCCATTTTGGGGCAACTCTTGAAAATTCTTCTCATGTTCTTCCCCAGTTTTTCCCCTGCTTCAACCCAAGGCAATCAAGCAGGCTTCAAGAATCATAGACCCTTTGGTCCAATTTCTCTGAGCCGACCAGATATCCTAAACGATCTAGTCCTATTTGCCAGCATTTGGCCTTTTCTACTCGTATACCCATCCAGAAGCCTTTTAAGTGTTGTAATTGTACCAGCCTCTACTACTTCCTCTGGCAGGTCGTTCTACACTCGTACCACCTTTTGCATGAAAAAATTGCCCCTCGAGTCCCTTTTAAATCTTTCCCCTCTCACGTTAAACCTATGCCCTCTAGTTTTGGAACCCCCTGCCCTGGTAAAAAGATCTTGCCCCTCTTGATTTTATAAACATCTGTAAGGTCACAAACTCTCTTCAATCATAATACAAATCACTGCTAGTCCCACCTTTGCCATCTAAAACTTAGAACATCCTCACATCTCAGTCAGTTCTATTTTAAAGAATTGTAGAGTACACAGTTGGAGCATGTCTTGATGATAAAGAACAAAGAACAGTACAGCACAGGAACAGGCCCTTTGGCCCCCTGAGTCTGCACCAACACATTATGCCCTTCCATATTAAAACTGTCTTCATTTACAGGATCTTTATCCCTCTATTTCCTTCCTATTTGTGTATTCATCCAGGTGCTTCTTGGATGCTGCTATTGTGTCTGCTTCCACCCCCTCCTCTGGCAGCATGTTCCAGGCACTTATCATCCTTTGCACATCTCTTTTAAACTTCCACTCCCACGGCTTGAACCTGTGTCCCCTAGTGATTGACCCCTCCACCTTGGGAAAATGCCTCATACTTTCCACTCTGTCCATGCCATTCACAATCTTATAAACTTCTGTCAGGTTGCCCTTCAACCTCCTGCATTCCAGTGAAAACAAACTCAGTCTATCCAACCTTTCTTCATAGCTAAAATACCCCATACCAGGCAACATTCTGGTAAACCTTTTCTGTACCCTCTTCAAAGCATCCACATCCTTTGGTAGTGTGATGACCAGAACTGTACGCAATACTCGAAGTATGGCCTAACTAAACTTCTGTAAAGCTGCAGCATAGCTTGCCTATCCTATACTCCTTGCCCCTTCCAATGAAGGCAAGCATGCGATAGGCCATTTTTACTACCTTATCTACCTGCGCTGCTATCTTCAGCGATCTGTGGGCCTGCACACCCAGATCCCTCTGCATATCAATACTCCTAAGGGTTCTGCCATACATTGTATAATTTCCACCTTTACTTGATCTTTCAAATTCTCACATTTGACTGGATTAAACTCATTTGCCATTTTTATGCCCATGCCTCCAATATCATGCTGTATCCTCTGACAATCCCAGCAATGATCCCTGCAGAATGCCACGAGCCACAGCCCTCCATTCTGAAAAGCATCCTTCCACCGGTACCTTCTGTCTCCTATGACAGTTCCGTGTCCATCTTGCCAGCTTACCCCTGATACCACGTGACTTCATCTTTTGTACCAGTCTGCCATGAGGGACCTTGTCAAAGGCTTTACTGAAGTCCATGTAGACAACATCAACCACTAATGAGGTTGGTTGCCTTGCCGAGCTGGTTCTTTGTTGTTCTGCAGACGTTTCATTACCCTGCTGGGTAACATCATCAGTGCAGCCTCCGATGAAGCGTCGGTGTGTTTTCCCGCCTGGTTTTTAAACCCTGGAGTCCGTTGAGCTGGATTGCCTCACTTCTGGTTTTCCTTCGTAGTGGAGTGTATGTGGGGTCGAGTTCTTTTCCCTCATCAATCATTTTCGTCACCTCCTCCAAAAACTCAATCTTGTTAGTGAGGCATGACCACCCCCGCACAAAACCATGCTAATATTTGCTAATAAATCCATTTGCTTCTAAATACTTATAGATCTTATCCCTGAGAATCTTTTCCAAAATTTTCCCTACCACAATGTGAGACTCCGTCCCAGATGTTGACACTGAGTGAAGAAATAATCCTTCTCTTGTAAGCTAACATATCTAGTTTATTTGCTAGTTTAATATTCTTCTGACATTGTATTATCCCAGAATGAGGATTGAATATTTGAGAATAATAATTACTCTACAGCAAGAGTGAGCAACTACAGGATAGCAGGAATAAAATAAAAAATAATGGCAATGATGTCAGAAATGCATGATCTCTTTTCTCTTGAAAAAAGAAGGCCAAAAGATAACGAAGTTTTTAAAATTTGAGGCTAAGATTGAGGCTTTGTTAGAGTTAATATCGAGAAATGTTTCCTTTTGTGAGAAAAGCATAACTAGAGTCCGTCATTGGAAATTGCCAAGAATCAACAAGAAGTAACATTTGTACCACACAAATGCCAGACAATGACCATTCCTATTAGGAGATAATGTAACCACTGCCCCATGACGTTCAGTAGTGTTACCAGCACTGAATTTTGCACTTTCAACATCCTGGAGCAACTGGAATTGCTGCATGAAGCACACTGGCTACAAGATCAGGTCAGAGGCTAGCAATATTCTGGCGGGTAACCTCACCTCCTGACTCCCCAAAACCTTGTCCACCATCTACATGGCACGTCAGAAGCGCAATAGAGTACTCCTTACTTGTTTGGATGAGTGCAGCTCCAATATCACTGAAAAAACTTGACACCATCCAGGACAAAGGAGCCCGCTTGATTGGCACCACATCCCAAACATTCACTCACTCCACCAACAATGATCAGTAGCAGCAGTTTGTACTATTCTCCGGTTACATTGCAGAAATTCACTAAAGATCCTTAGGCCGCATCTTCCAAACTTTCTGTCAAGAAGGACAAGGGCAGCAGATACATGAGAACACCACCACCTGTACATTTCACTCCAAGCCACTCGCCATCCTGACTTGGAAACTTATTGCTGTTCCTTCAGTGTTGCTGGGTTAAAATCCTAGAATTCCCTCCCTAATGGCATTGTGGGTCTACCTACTGCACATGAAGTGTGGCGGTTCAAGAAGGTAGCTCACCACCACCTTCTCGAGGCAACTAGCAATGGCCAATAAATGCTGGCCAGCCAATGATACCCATATCCCATGAGTGAATTTAAAAAAAAAAAAGTCCAACAGGGAATTCCGATGAAGCTTCATTACCTGAAGAGTGTTGAGAATGTGGAACATGACATTATGTGGAGTGGTTGAAGTGGCTATTATAGATTAGTTGTTCTCTAGAAAACAGAAGATAGGGTCAGAAGACATGAAGTGACATTAATCTCTCCTCCATGACCACGCACTTCCCTACCCCCAGTATGTGACCAATCAAATTCCTGATGTTGGACATTATCTGTGGCAGTTCTGATCAGGTGTGCTGCGCTATAGTTATGTATTTGCTTAATTAGATCAGAGGATTTGCAAATGGCTTCTCAAGGCAGCACCGATGAAGGCGGATGCCAATTTCGCAGCCTACTGTAGCCTGGTCTCTCAGAATCTGGGATTTTCATCAGAGACATTTATATTTGTATGATGTATTAAATGCTGACAATAATAGTTATATGCCCGATGTCACCATGCTTCATTACTGGTCTATTGCCTTTGTGGGCATCTGGAACTGTGTTATGCAGTTTTATTGGAAAATACTTTGGGAATTTACAGATGAACTTCAAGGGAAGCTGGACAAGTATATGAGTGAGGAGGGAATAGAGGGTTACAATGATAGATTTAAAGGAGGAAAGATATGAAGATTTTTGGGTGGAACACAAATACAGAATGAAACAAAAACAAGAATTGCTGGAGACACTCAGCAGTTCTGGCAGCATCAGCAGAGAGAAAGCAGAGTCAATGTTTTGTGGCCAGTAATCCTTCTTCAGAACAGAACTGATAAAGGATTACTGGACCCAAAACTGTGACGCTGCTTTCTCACCACAGGTGCTGACAGATCTGCTGAGTTCCTCCAGCAATTTCAGTTCTTTGTTTCAGATTTCCAGCACGTCAGCAGTTCTTGGTTTTATTGTAGTGATAGTCACAGCATTGTCTGGTTGTCCGATTTAGGTGTCCATCTTTCTGAAGGATAAAGTTCAGAATTCCAATGGACGATTTGTGCTGCCGATTTCTGGACCTGTACCTTGGGGAACAGAGATCCCTGGATTGATCAAGTAAGTTAGATTGTCTTCAGTCTACAAACTGTATGCTCATTGTAACTTTTCCATTCATGATTCCCTGTACACACTCCCTCCAATTTAATTTTGATCTTCACTTTGGAAGAAACAACACAATTTCATTCAATTGTTCATGATTTCCTATTCCTCGCGTCTCTACAAATCTCACTATTAAGATCCTGGCACATATTTCCATGGCCACAGAGGAGTATGTTTTCTTTTTGAAGGTTGTTTCGTCATCTATCTGTGCAGCAGATGTAAAACATCACAAGGCAGATACTGATGGTCCACCTTAAGCTCAACCATTCGTGAAAGGAAACTTGTATTTCCCCACCATATGATTGAAGTTGCCGTCTAAATTAATGTATGATTTTGTTTCCCCCATCATACATTGTAGCCCATTCCAAATATTTATCACAATTATATTGATACCATTTTTCATAATATTTGCATAAAATAATGTAGTTGCAGAGGATTGGAAAACTGCCATTGTATGACTTCTACTTAAGAAAGGGACGGAGGAGAGAAACAGTTAACTATAGACCAGTTGTCTTACTATCTGTTATTGGGAAAATATTAGAGTCTATTATAAAGAATGTAATAGCATAGCATTTAGAAATACATCATATAATCAAGCAGAGTCAGCATAGTTTTATGAAGTGGAAATTATACCTGATAAATTTACTCAAATTCTTTGGGGAGGTAAGAAGTACGATAGTGGAAGCAGTGGATGTAATATATTTGGATTTTCGGAATGCGTTTGATAAGGAACCATGCATTAGACTACTTAATAAGGTAACAGCCCATTGTGTTGGTGATAGCATAGATGGAAAATTGGCTAAATAATACAGTTGGGATAAGGGGGGCATTTTCAGGATGGCAGCCTGTAACTAGTAGAATGCCTCAGGAATCAATGCTAAGGCCACAATGACTTACAATAAAGTAATAACTTAGATGAGGAAAGTGAATGTACTGTTGCCAAATTTGTAGATGATACAAAAATCGGTGGGAAGCAGGGTGGTGAGGATGAGTCAGTCCACAGAGGGCTGTAGACTGGTTAAGCAAGCTGGAATACAATGTGGGAAAATATGAAGATGTGTACTTTGGCAGGAAAAATAGAGGAGCTGCATATTATTTGAATGGAGAAAGATTGCAGAAGGCTACAAAACAGAGGAATTTCAGATTCCTCATGCATGAGCCACAAAAAGTAGCATCCAAGTTCAGTGGGTAATATGAAAGACAAATGTACTGTTGGCTTTTATTTCAAAGAGGATGGAGTATAAAAGTTAGTGAGGGAGGTCATGCTAAAACTATACAAGGCACGAGTCAGACTGCACCTGGAATATTGTGAGCAGTTTTGGCCTCCTTCTCCAAGGAAAGATATACTGGCATGAGAGGCAGTCCAGAGAGGGTTCACTAGGCTGATCCTAAATATAAAAGAGGACTGTCTTAGAAGAGTTGAATAGGTTGTGCCTGTATTCATTGGACTTTTGAAGAATGTGAGGCAATCTTATTGAAACGTACACAATTCTTAGGGAGAGATCGTTTCCTCTTGTGGGAGAGTAGGACCAGAGAGCATAATCTCAGAGTAAGGATATGCCCATTTAAGACAGATGAAGAGGATTTTTTTCTCTAAGGATGGTGAGTCTGTGGATTTCCTCGAGCAGAAGACTGTTGAGGCTGTGTCGTTAAGTATATTCAAGGCTGTGACAGATATTTAATCAGTAAAGTAATCAAGGGTTATGGTGAAAACACAGGAAAATGGATTTGATGGACTGAAAGGCCTACTTCTGCTCTTACGTCTTATGGAGTTATCAAGAACAAACTCTGATTGTGTGTATAATGGTAGCTTGGTAAGCAGCCAAGATTGATTAGAAGGGGAAGATCCTGACCAATTACTTATACTTTATTGAGGTGGTGACATGCCAATTTGATCATGTGATGCATGCATTTAAATGCCCAATAAGCCTATAACAAAACTCCTCATGAGGGTCACAGTCTACTCTTGATCATTAGTAAAATGATGGAAGATGTCATCATCAGAACTATCAAGCTGCACCTACTCAGCAATAACCTGCTCACTGCTGCCCAGTTTTGGTTCTGCCAGGGCCACTCAGCACCTGACCTCTTACAGCCTTGGTTCAAACATGGACAAAAGCGCTTAATTCCAGAGGTGAGGTGAGAGTGACAGCCCTTGACATCAAGGCCACATTTGACCGAGTGTGGCATCAAGGAGCCCTAGCTAAACTGGAATCAGTGAGTATCAGATAGGCAAACTCTCTGGTGTTGGAGTCACGCCTAGCACACAGGAAGATTGTCATGGTTGTTGGACGTCAGTCATCGTAGCTTCAGAACATCTCTGCAGGTGCTCCTCAGGGTAGTGTCCTAGGCCCAACCATCTTCAGTTGCCTCATCAAAGACCTTCCCTCTATCATAAGATCATAGGTGGGGTATTCACTGATGATTGTACAATGTTTAGAACTATTCATGACTCCTCAAATACTGAAGCCATCCGTGGTTCAAATGCATCAAGATCTGAACAATATCCAGGCTTGGACTGTCAAGCGGCAAACATCATTCACACCACTCAAATGCCAGGCAATGACCATCTCCAATAAGAGACACTATAAATATTACCCGAGATAGTAGGAACTGCAGATGCTGGAAAATCTGAGATAACAAGGTGTAGAGCTGGATGAACACAGCAGGCCAAGCAGCATCATGGGAGCAGGAAGGCTGACGTTTCAGGCCGAGACCCTTCATCAGAATGGGGGAGGGGAAGGGGGTTCTGAAATAAATAGGGAGAGAGGGGGAGGCGGATAGAAGATGGATAGAGGAGAAGATAGGTGGAGAGGAAACAGACAGGTCAAAGAGGCGGGGATAGAGCCAGTAAAGGTGAGTGTAGGTGGGGAGGTAGGGAGGAGATAGGTCAGTCCAAGGAGGACGCACAGGTCAAGGGGGCGGGATGAGGTTAGTAGGTAGGAAATGGGGGTGTGGCTTGAGGTGGGAGGAGGGGATAGGTGGGATGAAGGACAGGTTAGGGAGGTGGGGACGAGCTGGGCTGGTTTTGGGATGCGGTAGGGGGAGGGGAGATTTTGAAGCTTGTGAAATCCACATTGATACCATTGGGCTGCAGGGTTCCCAAGCGGAATATGAGTTGCTGTTCCTGCAACCTTCGGGTGGCATCGTTGTGGCACTGGAGGAGGCCCAGGATGGACATGTCGTCTGAGGCTTGGCATTGAATGGTGTCACCATCACTGAATCCCCACTATCAACATCCTGGGCATTACCATTGTCCAGAACTCAACTGGACTCCCCACATAAACACAGTGGCTACAAGAGCAGGTCAGAGGCTAAGAATAATGTGGTGAGTAATTCACCTCCTGACTCCCCAAAGCCTGTTCACTATCTACAATGCACAAGTCGGGAGTGTGATGGAAAACTCCCACTTGCTTGGATGCAGCTCCAACAACACTCAGAAGTTTGACACCATCCAGGACAAAGCAGCCCACCTGATTGGCACTAGTGTGTACTGTCTGCAAGATGTACTGCAGAAATTCACCAAAGATCCTTAGACAGCACCTTCCAAACCCACAACCAGTTCCATCTAGAAGGACAAAGGCAGCAGATATATGAAGATATCACCACCTGCAAGTTCCCCTCAAAGCCACTCACCATTCCGATTTGGAAATATGTTGTCGTTCCTTCACTGTCACTGGGTCAAAATCCTGGATTCCCTCCCTAAGTGCATTGTGGGTCAACCTAGAGTATATGAAGTGCAGCGATTCAAGAAAGCAGCTCATCACCACCTTCTCAAGGGGAACTAGGGATGGGCAATAAATTCTGGCCGGCCAGCAATGCCCATGTCCCAGTAATGAATAAAAAGATTTGCAAGAATGAACTGCAAACTGCGAAGCTGTGAATACTCGTCAAAGGAGCTACGTTAGGGATGGGATGTTGTTACAGGGATCATTTTATTTGTATTAGTGACCTGATACCAATTGACAAAGGTTAACGGTTTCAAGTTGAAAATGCTCAATATATGTAGTCATATCGAAGCCACTTATTAAACTACTATTTCCTACTTTACTGCTATCGGTTTCTCACAATATTTGGTGCACTTTGGTTATTCTCTCTAATTATTACCTCTTGGCTTCCACATCCCTGCAAACTTAGTTTACATCCTCCCAACTATCACCAGCAAATTGCCCTGTGAGGATATTAGCCCCAGCTGTAACTAGGTGCAACCTGTCCATGCTTTCAAGGGCTCATTTCCCACTGAGTTGGTCCCATTGTCACAGGAATTTAGAGCCTTCCCCCTTGCACCATATTTACAAAGTGCCATGGACCTGTCTCTGTCTGCATGCTGATTAACCATCACTATAGTCAATATTCCCAACTAAATACTCATTGCAGACCAAGATGCACTTTTGGCTCCTGTACTTACCAGCTTGTTTCTTCCTGACAGGTCCCAAAACATGCTGTGAGGTGTTCATATCATGCACCAGCAGCAGTGACTGAATTATCTAAAGTTAATGGTAGAGAAATCACTGAAACTGTGGTGAGAAGGTGAAATAAAACCAGTAAACCTTCCAGGCTGAGAACCCTTTGTAGGAATCACCTTATTGAAGACTGTTCATGCAAAATATTACCCTGTCCTTGTTTTTTAAGATGCTGGCTTGTGCTGTGCAGCCTTTAACTACTTCTTTTCAGTCTCCTTGTGGAAAACAAAACTCAACTCTTGGACAAATTTGTCCCCTAGATTTACTTAACATTTGGATAGATTTGAGCCGTACATGTTGTGACGTCTAAATCCAGCTTTTACGGAACATTAAGCTTTACATAAAACCCTCCTGTATAATCCACGAACACATGTATATCTATCAAAGTGTATTTTTAAAGGTATTGTATGGAGAGAAAACAAGAATATGGCAGATAGTGAATCTACTATGATCATATTGAATGGTGGAACAGGCGTGAAGGGCCAAAAACCTACTCCTGCTCCTAGTTTCTATATGTCTAGTCTCTGTGGTTTTATAATGGTGAAAGTAATTGGAATTTGAGGTTTGTAAACTTTTCGAGTAAGGAAAATCCTGACTCCTGGTATTTCTCCACTTGTCACAGAATGTTTAACTATGATGGAGAAGAGGTGAAACGAGCAACTTTCCCAGCCAGCGGCAGTTACACCAGTGTGCTGACAGAAGGATCTTTCGATCTCTTTGGTGACAGAGTAATTAAACTTGGCACAAATATGTAAGTAACACCATTTCCACATTCTAAGGATCTCTAGGATACCAGTCCCAGAGGATGTAGGCTGAACCAACAGTCTCTTGCTTTACAATAAGAACCCTCTGGAATGAACTGAGAACCAAGGAAGGTTATTTAAAAATTATTCATTTGGTGTTCTCTGTTGCTTGGAGATTAAAGTTCTCATTTGGACCAAATGCTGTTCACCCGTTACCCCTGTGTTATATGACCTACACAGACTCCCAGTAAAGCAATGCTTCAATTTTAAAACTCCCGTCCTTATTTTAAAGTCCTTCCAGGCCTGGCTGCTCCTGTTCTCTGATCTCCTGTATCTGTACAACTTTCCCAAGTGTCTGAAACATTCCTTGGAATGGAACTAGTAGCCATGCCTTCAGTAGTGTGGGCCCTGGAATTCCTTCCCTACACCTCTCAATTTTTCCAACTCACTTTCCTCTTTAAAACCTGCTGCTTTGACTAAACAAGGTGTAGAGCTGGATGAACACAGCAGGCCAAGCAGCATCAAAGGAGCAGGAAAGCTGACGTTTCGGGTCTAGACCCTTCTTCAGAAATCTACCTGTTTTAATATTTCCTTACAGGACTCAATGTCATATTATTTTAAAATATCTCTGAAACACCTTAAGATATGGTGTTGTATTATTGCCCCTATACACACACATGGTTATTGCCGTTGTAGCACTCAGCTATCCAAATGAACAGGTCCCAGGTTTGATTCCCTGGGCTCTACATCGCAATCCATCAACAGGTGATGCCCTTACCTTATCAGATATGCTAATGATTCTCCTCACTACAGGTGGCCTTAGCATTCATCGACAAGGAGGGTTAAGATCAAGCAAAGTTGCTGTGAAATGTTATGTGTGTGAGGAGGGTTTGCTGACAGGAGAACCTTCCAACTGGTGAATATCCTGCCACAAATCTCACTGTTTAATTTATAGATAAAGTGAGGGCTCTTCACTTAGCTGTCACTCAAAAGAGGAGAAAATAAACTGCTGTAAGGACTGGGAGTAGCACAAAAGTCAGTTGAAACAGTGGCAAGTTAGAAGATACAAGGTAGTTAGTGAGAAACAAGAAGAGCGTCGAGGGGGTGTAAGGGTGTGGTGGGGAGGGAGTGAGGGATGAGAGTATAGCTGAGGATTGATAGTGATGAGGATGGGGAGAGAGTGTGGCAGGGGTGAGAAAGAACAGTATAGGAGATTGAGAGTTATGGGAGGTGTTGAGGGTGGTGACTTGTGGGGTCTGAGAGGGTGGACGGGATTGACGGAGTTGAGGATAGTGGGTAGTGTGTGGTGAGAGGGTGAATTGGGCACTGAGTTTAGAAGGTGAGGGTTTGTGTGTGGGAGGTGTGTGGCTGAGAGGGTGGAACAGGTTAATATGGCATGTGTGTGTGTGTGTGTGTGTCAGAGAGTGCTACTGGTTTATCTGTCAGTCTTGTAGCCATTTAGGTAGGAGACGCTGTTCCTCGGGCACCTGAGCCATGGTGTCAGATTTAGATAGGTGGCGTATAGTCCGATGTACAATTGAGCAGTATAGAGTAGACCCTGACCTCTGTGGACTTGCAGATTCGAAAAGTAGTGACAGTAAGAGAAATGCTGTGCACAAATTTCTGAAGGAACCACTTTTCTGTTTACCAGCGTGAGTTTGTTCATGGCTGAGTAAGTGTGCATTCTTTAAACCAAAACAGGCAAAGGTGCCATCTCCAAGAATGTCATCTGTACATTAAGGGAATGAATGGGATGAAACTGATGGCAAACTCCCACACTGTGCTACTGTTAGTGTAGCTAACATATTGGTTATTTCATTCGTTATTCAGTCCTACATTTTCAAGGAAAGATTGCAGAATAAGCAATGCCTTGTCTGCGTTTTAGTCACTGGGTGCGAATAAGCATACTCTAGTGTGATCATTGTTCCAGGGAGCTACCAGTGGTCCCTGCTCGCTATACATTTTGCTGCTGAACCTTTGATCCACAGATATAATTGTATTATTTGTTGATGTTGTGCTGTTCACCTTTTTAAATCTCGTTATCTGAATGGCCACAGGTACAGCATTTCACGGCCTGTGGAAACACATATGTCAGGGGCATCAAAGAACTCAGCTACACGTACAAAGGTCAGTGCTCATTGCTATTTCTAGCTTCCTGTTGTTTTTATGGGTCTTCCCGTTTTCTTTTCATTTGTCTCCCATAGACCCGTACTAGTTTATATTTTTATGTTAGATGTATTTATATAAAATGCACGACAGGGCATTTTGCAAATCAAGTGTGAGCGTGGACTAAACAGCAGCAGCGACAATGGCATGTATTTTAACATGCTAAAACATCTCTAGGTACTTCACAGAATTAATACACAAACTTTGACACTGAGCCACATAAGGTGCCAACAAGGAAGATAACCAAAACTTTGGTGGGTTTTAGAAAGTATCTTAAAGGTGGAGAGTTTTAGGGAGAGAACTCCAGCTTAGAGCCAAAGGAACTAGATGGGGATATTCAGAAGGCCTGAATTTTTCGAAAGATTTTGGACCTGGGGGAGATTAGAGAGAGAGAGAGAGAGAGAGAGGTGGGGGGAGTTACGGAGGTGAGGTATGAAAATGCAGATGACATTTTTAGCTGAGATCATCCTCTGTCAGTTCATAGAGGGGAGATGGGTTCAAATGAAATGCTTCAGATGTTCTTCAGAATGTTGTTTTGTGCTCTTTATCTAATGCAGATTGGAGTTGTTGATTGGTTTGCCGAGCTGACTGGTTTTCATGCAAACGTTTCGTTTCCCTTCTTGGTGACATTGTCGGTGCTGTGTAGCCTCCGTTGAAGCACTGTTGTTCTCTCCCACTATGAATTTATATTGTCCGGTCTGCCATGGTGAGCAGTCTTGTTTCCGGTTTTGCACCATAGTGGTACATAGATGGGGTCTATTTCAATATGTTTGTTTATGCGTTGGTGGTTGAAAATCAGGCCTCCAGGAATTTTCATGCATGTCTTTGTTTTGCTTGTCCTAGTACTGTTACGTTGTCCCAGTTAAACTGACGTCCTTCTTTATCGGAGTGAATAGAAATGAGGGAGAGTTGATCTTGCCGTTTTGCTGCGAGTTGGTGTTCATGTATCCTGGTGGTGAGTTTCCTGCCCGTCTGTCCTATATATTGCTTCTTGCAGTTGCTGCATGGTATTTTATATATCACATTTGTTCTGCTCATTGTGGGTAAGGGGTCTTTTGTCTTTGAGAGTAAATGGCAAAGTGTGGCTGTTGGTTTGTGTGCTATCCTTATTCAAAGAGGTTGTAGGAGTGTTATAGTCAGTTCTGATGTGTTTCTAATATAGGATAGGGTGGCCAGTGTTTTGGGGCATACAATGTCTTCTTGGTGTTGCTAATTTGCAAGGCTCCAGCGGACAAAGCTGTTAAGATAATCATTGTTTGCAAAGACTTTGTATGGTGTTTGTCTTCATTTTTGTGCAGCTCCAGGGTGCTGCAGTGAGTTATCCCTCATTTAAACAGAATCTTGACACAGCTGTGTTTGTGGGTGCTGAGGTGGTTACTGTTGTAATTCAGGATTTGGTCTGTGTGTGTAGTCTTTCTGTATACACTGGTAAGGAAGTCACCCAACGCACTGGCCACCCTACCCTATATTAGAAACACATCAGAAATGACTACAAGTCTCCTAGAACCTCTTGGAATAAGGATAGTACACCAACCCACAGTCACACTTTGCCAGTTACTCTCAAAGACAAAAGACCCCATTCCCATATTGAGCAGGACAAATGTGATATATAAAATACCATGCAGCAACTGGGAGAAACACTACATAGGACAGACGAGCAGGAAACTCGCCACCAGTATACGTGAACACCAACTCGCGGCAAAATGACATGACCAACTCCCTCACTTCAAACACTGTGACACAGAAGGACAGCATTTTAACTGGGACAAAGTTACAGTACTGGGACAAGCAAAGCAAAGACAAGCATGAAAATTCCTGGATGCCTGATTTTCAACCACCGATGCAATAAACAAACATGTTGAAATAGACCCCATCTACATAACACTACAGTACAAAACCAGAAACAAGACTGCCCATCATGACAGAGCAGACCGTATAAATTCAGAGCGAGACAGAATAACAGCGCTTCAACGGAGACTACACAGCACTGACGATGTCACCTAAAAGGGAGATGAAACTTTGCATGAAAACCAGTCAGCTCGGCGAACCAACCAACAACTCCAACCACAACCCGAGCTACAGATCTTCATTAAAACATTGATGCACATTGTTCTGCATTGCATTTCCAGGAGGTTAGAGTGTAGTGGAGCAGATCAGTAGCTGCAGAAATATCATGGTGCACAGAAAGCCAAAGACTAGATACTTGGAAGTTTGAAAATGCAGTTATACATTAATTGGGAAATAGTTTTTCCGAGGAGTGGCCACAGATGGAAGTAGGATTGCTGACAGGAAACAGGAAGAAACTGACTGAGAAAGGGACGAAATTACTGGAATATAAGAACACAAAAGTTTGGGATAGTTGGTGTCCAGGAAGGTGGTCAGAGTAACAAAGGCAGAAATCAGAAATGAATGAGGATATGAAGAGAGAATTTAATAGTGAACGATATCTAGAAAGGAGCTGAAAGGGGAAAGAGCAAACAGACACTGTCGATATAGTAATGGAAAAATATTAAGATTGAGCGAGACAGAAGAGAGAAGTTAGTAGAGATAGAGAGACAGATGACTACTACAGACTGGGAGATTGGAAGAGAGTACCACAATGGTGTAAGATACACAGAGAAAATGAATAGGGACATAGAGGGGAGAAAGCAAAAGAGTATCAGAAAGATTCATGGATAATTTCACCAACTGCATTCACCCACTTGGAGAGCAATGGCTAGAGAACTGGCAGTAGTACTGCAGCTGTCTTTGCAACCCATGCTCCCTTTAGAACTGTGGTACAGAGGGATTTAATTTCAATTCAGATGCTACTATTTGTCTCAATCCTGTTCTTACAGGGTAATATTCCATTAGATTTGGTTAAGATCATTGAAACAGACTGGAGGATCTTGTGTGAATATAATTCAAGCCTTAATGTAATATAATAGACCTTGTGTTCATGTCATGTCCTTTTGACAAATATTAGTCATCAGTTCTGGGTGGCCCGGTGGCTCAGTGGTTAGCACTGCTGCCTCATAGCACCAGGGACTCCGGTTCGATTCCACCCTTGGCGACTATCTGTGTGGAATTTGCATGTTCTCTCCGTGTCTGAGTGTGTTTCCTCTGGGTACTCCAACTTCCTCCCACAGTCTAGGGATGTAATTAGTTGGATTAGCTGTGGGAAATGCAGGGTTACAGAGATAGGGCGGGGGGTATGTCTGGGTGGGATGGTGTTTGGAGGGTCGGTGTAGACTGAATGGACCGAATGGCCTGCTTCCACACTGTAGGGATTCAATGATTCTTTGAATGCAGGCTTTAATTTAACATCTCATCAATTTCTCATTTCATCTAAAAGGTGACATCTGTGACAATGCAGCATTATGTTCTGATTGACTAGGTTTTTTCACTCCATGAAAGAGAGGACTTTGATGGAAAATGTTTCTTTCAGAATTTCATAACTGGTTATCGAAGATTGTATATTTTATTCAATGGCGAGATAGAGAGAAACTAGTAAGATTAGTGACCTGTCAGCCTTGAATTTTTGCTGGAAATGTGACAAGATCTTCATTTTGTGGATCACTGTAATGTGCAGGGCTACCTATTCAATTCTTGATCGATTAATCCAAATGACATGAACATAAACCATCTCGCCCAACAAAGCACAGCTTTAGTTGGTCTCTTAATAGGAACTGAAGTGAATTCCCAACTAATACTCAGTCTGACTACAATTAAATACAATTAACAGATTCCCTTCTCTTTTTAAATAAAAATCAGAATCTGTATGTCCAACCAAATATCAAAACACGTTCAGTCAAAAAACCACCAAGATCTGTGCTTTGCAAAATGTTCCTCTTTCAAGACCCTATCATTTCCTTCCTATATAAATTTGTTTCAGTAAGATAATCAGATACTTGATGACAGGCATTAATTCATTTTCATTTTAAGTATTTCCTTTTCCTTCAGCTTTTGTTTCAAGCAAGCAAGGTCAATTCTTTTCTCACTCTCACTTTTCTTGAGTGTATATTACCAATGAATGATTGTCTCCATAAATTCATTTGGTCTCCTATCTTCAGTACATCATTGTGCAGAATTTTATCAAAGATATTTGATAAATTGCATCCCATATGCAATGGCTCCACAAGGGTGAGTATTTTAGTCACTAACCAACTCATTTTCTTAGCTTCCCAAACTAAAGAACAACATTTCCCATTCTTTGGCCTTCAGAAATATTGGTCCAAATCTTCCGACTTGTGGAGAGGCATGCGATGCATATGGGGATGCTGAGGAAGTCCCTATGTGCGCACGTTCTGTGGTAATTGGACAGGATGTTTGAAACTCTGATTATCAGTTTTATTCTGCCCTAATTGCTCTGTGATTCCATGAGAGGGGAGTTGAAGATTATCGGGAATGAGAGAGAGTTAGCACTGTTGGCTTTGGTAATTCTATTAAAACAGTGTAAGTTAACTAAAGCCAAGAACTGCAGATGCTGGGAATCTGAAACAAAAATAGAAATTGTTAGAGAAACTAAACAGGTCTGGCAGCATCTAGTTCTGAAGAGCGATCACTGAACTCGAAACATTAACTCTGAAAGTGGAATTATGGAAGTGTGGGTATGTCGTTTAATGAATATGAAAGCTATGTTACTGCAAGTTGTGACTTTCCAGAGAAGACAATTTCTGAAAATACCCAAAAAGGCAACAGATGCAGAAATAAAACTCTGGAAACTAAATAAGTTTAGTGGCCTGAAGATTGTTTCTAGGGTGTGGTATTATTCATTCAGATTTAGTTTTCTAAAAATATATCTGGATGATCTGAACGCAGTGCTTTGTTGTTGTAGAATCATACAGTACAGAAGAACCCCTAGACCCATCATGTTTATCCTGCCAAAGCTACTCAAAATCTCTATTAGTCGTATTTTCCAGCACAAGACCTAGAGCCTTGAATCTTACGACATTTCAAGTGCTCAAAAGAAAGAGAAAATATTCAGGCATCTTAATGATGAATGTTGAATGTTTCTTGTTGCAATGGTACTTTGCAGTTTGATAAATCTATTATTAAAAATATAATATCATTGAAATTGGGAGTCAATTTTATAAATTGGTTTTGATCAGGACTGTGTAACAGCAGCCAGAATCCTGCCTGCCCAAGGTTTCAGTCTAGCCCTTCCCTACGCAAAAGAACAAAGAAAATTACAGCACAGGAACAGGCCCTTTGGCCCTCCAAGCCTGCACCGACATGCTGCCTGTCACAACTAAAACCCCCTACCCTTCTGGGGACCGTATCCCTCTATTCCCATTCTATTCCTGTATTTGTCAAGATGCCCTTTAAAAGTCACTATGGTATCTGCTTCCACGACCTCACCCGGCAGTGAGTTCCAGGCACCCATCACCTTCTGTGTTTAAAAAAAAAACTTGTCTTGTACATCACCTTTAAACCTATGCCCCGTAGTAACTGACTCTTCCACCCTGGGAAAAAGCTTCTGACTGTCCAGTCTGCGCATGCCCTTCATAATCTTGTAGACCTCTATCAGGTCGCCCCTCAACCTCAGTCATTCCAGTGAGAACAGCCCAAGCTTCTCCAGCCTCTACTCATAGCTAAAGCCCTCCATACCAGGCAACATCCTGGTAAATCTTTTCTGTACCCTCTCCAAAGCCACTACTACTTTCTGGTAGTGTGACAACCAGAATTGAATGCAATATTCCAAATGCAGCCTAACTAAGTAAAGCTGCAACATCACCTGTCAATTTTTTTAAACTCGGTGTCCTGGCTGATGAAGGCAAGCATGCCTTATGCCTTGTTGACTACCTTCTCCACCTGTGTTGCCACTTTCAGTGACCTGTGCACCTATACACCCAGATCCCTCTGCCTATCAGTATTCTTAAGGGTTCCGAAATGCGTTACCTCACGTTTTTAAGGATTAACCTCCATCTGCCATCTCTCTGCCTAAGTCACCAACCCATCTATAGCCTGCTGTAACCTCTGATGGTCCTCATGGCTATCCACAATTTCACCAACCTTTGTGTCATCTGCAAACTTACTAATCAAACCAGTTATATTTTCCTCCAAATCATCTATATATATTAGAAATAGCAAAGGTCCCAACATTGATCCCTGAGGAAAGCCACTAGCCACAGCCCTGTATTCAGAAATGCACCCTTTCACTGTTACCCTCTGTCTTCTGTAACCAAGGCAGTTTTTTATCCATCGTGCAAGCTCACCTCTGACCCCGTGCAACTTTACCTTCTGTATCAGCCTGCCATGAGGGACCTTGTCAAAGGCCTTACTGAAGTCCATGTAGACAACATCCACTGCCCTACCCTCATCGATCATTTTCGTCACTTCGTCAAAAAACTCAATCAAGTTAGTGAGACACAACCTCCCCTTCACAAAACCATGTTGCCTCTCGCTAATACGCTCACTTATTTCCAAGTGGGAGTAAATCCTGTCTTGAAGAATCCTCTCGAATAATTTCCCTACCACTGACATAAGGCTCAAAAGCCTATAATTAGCTGGATTATCCCTGCCACCCTTAAACATTGGCTATTCTCCAATCCTCTGGGATCTCCCTTGTAACCAGTGAGGATACAAAGATTTCTCTTAAGGCCTCACCAATTTCCTCCCTTGCCTGTCTCAGTATTCTGGGGTATATCCCATCAGGCCCTGGGGACTTGTCTACCTTAATGTTTTTCAAGACCCCCAATACCACCTCCCTTTTGATCTCAACATGACCCAAACTGTCTCCAAACCCATTCCCAGACGCATCATCCACCAAGTCCTTCTCTATGGTGAATACTGACACAAAGTACTCATTTAATACCTTGCCCATTTCCTCTAGCTGCATACATAAATTCCCTTCCCTGTCCTTGGGTGGGCCAACCCTCTCCCTGGCTACCCTCTTGTTCTTTATATATCTATAAAAAGCCTTGGGATTTTCCTTAATCCTGTTGGCCAGTCACTTTTTGTGACCCCTTTTAGCTCTCCTGTTCCTTGCTTAAGTTTCTTTCAACTTTCCTTGTTTTCCACCCTTGCTTCGTGTATTCCCAGCCTCTCAGCCTTGACAAATGCTTCCTTTTTCTTTTTGACTAGACTCACAATATTTCTCGTTATCCAAGGTTCCCTAAACTTGCCATCTTTACAGGAACATGCCGGTTCTAAGTTCCTATCAATTTACACTGGAAAACCTCCCACACACCAGATGTTAACTTGCACACTCAGGATTGCATTCCAAGTCATAATCATTATCTGCATAAAATAGCTTTGCCTCAGATCAATATTGAATTTTTTCGCTAAACACCTTAAATATGTGTCCACTGGTTCTCAATCCTTCCAAAAATGGGAAGTTTCTCTCTATCTGCTGTCTAGGCCCCTCATAAATTTGAACATTCTATCAAACCTTCTGTCAACTTTCTCCTCCAGGGAAAATAGCTACAGATTTGAATTTGCAGTTACTAAATGAAGATTTGTTTAAAAGTGTTATTGTAATGAATGACTGAAAACACAAATGACTAAAGACTTTTCTTTTTGTAGGCAACTTATACTTTAAGCTATAGTGAGGAATAGTACCCCCTCAAGTTTGGCTCATATTGCACCCTTCACAGAAATACAGTTCTTCAAGTAATCAATTAAAAATTCCTCCAACTTTCCAAAACGTTGTTTCCCCTTTACTCTCCTAGCCAGTAACGTGTATTCTACTTTCACATAAACAAATAACTTCCAAATTTCAGCAGGCATCAAATTAAATAAGCTTAAATGAAAAGCCTATCACAGTTTTGTTGAATGGTTATTTGTTTTACTTGACTTCCCAGTTGCTCTTCCACTGTTACAGACCTCATCTGTTTGTGGCTGGATACAGCTGTCATTATCTAAGTATAGTCATTCTACTAGCTGTGCAAATGAACCATTAAGCAGGAAAATGAAACTTACAGCACTAATTTATTCCTTTAGTTATTTCAAGCTGACTAAATAGAGTGGACCAAGCAGCATCAGAGGAGCAGGAAGGCTGACGTTTCGGAAGGGTCTAGGCCGGAAACATCAGCCTTCCTGCTCCTCTGATGCTGCTTGGCCTGCTGTGTTCATCCAGCTCTACACCTTGTTATCTCAGATTCTCCAGCATCTGCAGTTCCTACTATCTCCTAAATAGAGTGGACGTCTGTTTTAATGTGGATCAACATAATATAAACTTGCTTATAAGGGGATCTCACAGCTACCAAATTTATTTCTTTGTAGCAGAAGTAGTAATGCTTATGAGTGCAGTATAAGTGTAATTTGAGAATGCATTGGTAACGGGCCTGAATTTAAAAGCTTGTGATGGCCCAAGGGAATGCGACTGCTTCCAACCTTGGCTTTTGCTTTCAAGACTATCACCAGGATGAAAAATGTTGACTGAATTTGTGCCTCACTGAGAAGCATCAGGTTTCTATCCAGCCCAAAATCGATCAATGCACAACCCAGTGCCCCATGCTGTCCCCTACAGACACACTCACAATTACATGTAATTCAATAAACTAAAACAAAGAACTGCACATGCTTGAAATCTGTAACAAAAACAGAAATTGCTGGAGAAACTCAGCAGATCTGGCAGCATCTGTGGCGAGAGAAACAGAGTTACATTTCTGGTCCAGTGACCCTTCTTCCTGTGTTCTGAAACTGGGGCCTTGGTCAAGAAGGGGGAAAGAGCAGCGGGAGGTTGTATTGAACTAATAAATGCAAATGGACAGTTGTGGAAGACTGACAGATTCTTACTTCCTGCTTTGGTAAATGGAAAATGAGTGATATAACATTCACTCTACTTCGAGGATTTAATTGACTATAAAAATGCTTTGGGAGCTCCGACATCATAAAAGGCAAGAACACCTTTTCCCTTTGCTGTTCATTCCATCCCTGTTTAAAATCCTGTTGCCAACAAAATCAGATGATCTCTGCTGAAAGAGAATCTAAAATCAATCCATGTAAATTGACACTTTATCTTTGCTTGTTTTATTTTCTTGACATTTCATTTCCCTTATCCTATGTTTCAGGAGAATACAGCTCCCAACCCACTGGCTAAGGAAGAGCTTAATTTACTGGCACTGTTAATGGGAGGTCTAGAGATCAAGAAGCCAGTGGGCACTGAGCCAGGGTTTCGGCTAAATCTGTTTGGCACAGATGAAGAGGAGGAGTAAGTTGGCAATGTTATTTTTCTAGTTGTGTGTCATTCACAAGAATAAGATTTATAACCATACACAGCTCCTTCTCTTGTGCACGGTCCTTCCCTCTCGCTCGCTTTGTACCTATACATCCTCCTTCCTGTGCATATCCACTTTCACGTACTTTATCCCACCTGTGAACATAGACTGTGGCGTGAAGAGCAGAATGGTCACATTCTGTGCTGTAAAATTCTTTGAAAATGAAATTTTCACATCTGACTATGCATCCGAGAGCAGGAAAGTTACAACCGAGAGGCTGGTGGGCAGCGGTGCCTTGCACCTTCTAGCGGATGCCTTTTTTTTTGCAGTATTGCCTGTTTATATGCTCAACTGGGAAATGATGCATAGTGTGGATTAACCGGAAGCCGGAAGTAATACATCTTGGAATACGTTAATCCTCGGCATGCACAGGAATTGTTGTGGTGGTATGATACCGTGCTGGATGATCACAGGGACAAGTGAGAAAGGGCAGTTTAAGATGCTTACAATGATGCTGCATCACTGCCTCAATCTGGGCCATGCCTTCAGATCTTTGTTCAGTGGAGACAGCTGTAACACAGTGTTCCCCTAAAACTCTGCCAATAAGAAACTATAGCACTGCTATAACACAACAAAATTAATCAGGTAAACGGAGGACAGAAACTCAGTTCCTACTATGTTGGGTGAGTAAGGAAGAACTGTTTGTCAAAAGTTCTTGCAGACCAGTGAACTGGTTGAAGATTTGTTCAGGTTTTGCAAGTGTTTTCTTAATATAATTTTTGAGCATGCATCTGTGAAAATCAAATTGCACCAGGTAAAATTGGGATTGTGACTGATTAAGTAGCCATGGGCGGAAGTTAGAGGAAGGGAAACCTATACGGATGGTCAGAAAATATATTGCAAAATTAAAGCCAGTCAGTGAGGTTACAGTAGGGCTATACTAAGGCAGGCTCTTTGCCATGGTATATTTTATTTTGACCTATTTTTGTATTTACAGTCAAGCAGCAGCCATAAGACCTCCAGACCGTTTTGAAGAAGTGATTGAGATACAGGTCTCGAAGGTGAGCAGAATATCAGTGGACCATTATTTGCAAAAGCTACACCTTTTATTTTAATGAATGGTCACTTCTGTGATTCCCTACCACCACCACTTGTCCTTGTCCAGTTTTGGCAGCTGAAGGCACTGGATCCAGAAAGGTGTTAAAACCTGTGGGCACCAACAAACCATTTATTAATTTGGTTAAATGGGCACATGAGTTCATTTTGCCATGTAAGTAGTGAGCAGGGGCAGGTAATCACTTACAAGCCCAATCCTGGTTTGTGCCCCACACATTCACACAGACTGGCATTGAACATCAAGAGGAGAGGGGTCTTCACCTGGTTAATAGCCTTGTGGACAGTCACAGCCATTGTCTTGCTCCCCCACTACCGAATCCTCCGAGGATGGCCTGCAGGCACACGTGATAGCGTGCCATGGACAGTGCATTTACTCTCTCAATCAATCAAGGACCTTGTTTTATTTCCTAATAAAACAGTAGACTGCCAGAGACTTACATGTGTTGTCCTTCTGTGCAGGACCAGCAGCAGCATGAAGAGTTAACTCGAATAATGGGAGAATTCCATGTTCAGGAACAGCCCAGGCATAGCCGCAGTAAAGGAGATGATCTCCTGGCCATGATGGATGATCTGTGACACCCTCTGAGAGCTGAACTCCTATTCTGTACAATTCTGTGCACTTCAGCACCGTTTCATCCAGTTTAAACTCATTGTAAATAGTAAATATTTAAGCAACCAGACTGTGGCTCATAATTCAATAAGCATTTGTGACCCTCAGAACCTGGATGGAGGTCTGAAAAAGCATTGGGGTAAGGGGTGACAGAGGCGTTAGCTCAGCTGTGAATCTTTGCAGACCAGTGATCTGGTGGAAGATTTGTATAGGTTGTGCAAGTGATTTCTTAATATAATTTTTGTGTGCATTTGTGAAAATCAAATCATACCAGGTAAAACTGGGACTCTGACTGTAGCCTTGGGTGGAAATTAGAGGAAGGTAAAGCTACGTGGATGGTCAATAAGTATGTTGTAAAATTAAAGCCAGTCAGTGAGGCTAGAGTAGGCTCACAATGTGTGACTGGTATCACAGTCTATGACAGTGGAGTCACTGGGCCACACTAAGGCATCTTGCTGGCAGTTGTATGGAAATCTGGTTGAATGGTTAATGCATTTTATCAAACAGACAAAGCTTTGTTCAGCTTTTAATATTGAAGGACAGAGCTGGCCTCAAGATTTGGGGTTCTGAACTTTGAATTTCTAAAGATTAACTATTTATTTCAATCAGTAAATGTTCTTAAATAACTTTGAACACTAAAAAACTTCATTAAAATATTACGAGTAAATTAAATGTCAGCTTTAATTTGTACTTAGCATATCTGATTCTGATTCATGTTTATTCTTGATTTAATATTTATTATTTTAACATTGAGGTTCAATGCTTTCATTCCATATATTTTTATTCCTCCCTATCTTGGATATTGGACTGGATTTGATTAACTTTGTTTTATTTGATGAAATTAAGATGTTTAAATAAACAATCTTTTCAGTATTTCCTTCAGTATTCGCTCTCCAAAAACACCACTTCTTTCCTCCCTTTGACAGTGCCCCACTGAACTAAATAACCAGAGTTGTAAAGAAGGCTTTAAATTAAGGGGGTGCGGGGTGTGTGAATAATGCAAGGGAAGATTTCGGCACTATGTCTGTGATCGCTCCCAAATTTAGGGAAGACTAAAAGGTTATAACTGGTGCCTTTCCAATTTTTACTGTCACCTCCTTCCGTATCCTTGGATGCATTTCATCCTTTCCAGGTGTTTCGTCAACTTCAGTTACTAACAGGCTATCCAATACTTCTTTCTTATCAAATTTGAGCGCTTCTAGTGACAGAGTTTCCTCCTCTGTCACCATCGCGTGGGTAGTATCTGCCTCCTTGGTGAATGTATTCATTTAATACATCAACCACACGTCCTGTATGCATGTATAAATCCACTTTTTAATCCACAATTAGCCCAACCTCCTTTTACCTCTACTCTACTACTTGTGCGCTGACAGAAAGAAGACTTTGGGGATTCCCCTTTACATTGACCTCCAGTCTTTTCTCATAATTCCATTTTGTTTCTCTAAAATGCTTTCTCGCATTCCGCTGAACTTTCTGTATTCCTCTTGGTTTTCAATTGTATTTTATGCCTGACACAATTTTATGGTCTCCAACTAACTTTCAGTCCCAGATTTTGTGAACTTAATTAAAAGTTTGCTGTATTTCGTAATCAATTGAAAATCAAAATTCAATGAAGCATATTTGTTTTAAAAGGTTAACTGTTGTTTTATTCAAACTATTGAGAATTAGTGCACTTGATATTTTAAATTATTTATTTAGTGTTTGCATAATCACTGGACCAAGCAATAGCCGTTTCAGTAACTAACAGTTTTCGAGTCCACCTTCAAGTTTAGTTAAGGGACACACTCAGTTAGGCAAATCATTGCTTGAAATGCACCAGAGCTGCAGTCTGGATATTCTTGGTGACCCCGCTGTCCAGAGGCTTGGCCAGCCCAGAAATGTTTTAAAAGGACCCACATGTTGTGGGAGATCAAAGCTGGATGAACAAACAGTGGGGTCTACAATGAGAGAGTGCTTTCTGATGATTGTCTTCTTGAATCACTGTTAGTCCCAGCGTTGTGACTTTCACCACTTGGGGTGGCACAAGGAAGGTATACTTCTGGTAGGTTGAGGAAATCATTAAATAAGAATTGATTTCAGTTGGAGTAGACCTTTTCCAGGAGATTGCCTGATACCGGTTACCCTCCTGATGTGGGCGGGCAGTGGAAGCAGGCAATATTGCTTTGGACTGAAAAGATGAGTTGGTTAGAGATTCCATGTGATGATGTGCATGTTAATTTGCACATTGACACAAGTTTGGGCACAGTATTCTGCAGTTGTATCAGTGATGAAATAGCAGAGGTGCTTAGGGTGACCTGTAATACTCACGAAGTATCAGCCAGTTTACTGAGAAGTTTACTTTCCCTGAGCTGGAAAACACATTAAATGACAATACTGCAAAGCTCAGAGATAGTAAGAACTGCAGATGCTGGAGTCTGAAATAACACGGTATGGAGCTGGAGGAACACAGCAGGCCAGGCAGCATCAGAGGAGCAGGAAAGTTGACCTTTCGGTCGGGACCCCTTCTTCAGAAATGGGGAGGGGGAAGGGAGCTCTGAAATAAATAGAGAGAGGAAGGGTGGGGCTGGGGAAGGTTGGTGGGATAGTGATAGGTGAATCCAGGTAGGCAGTGGTGGGGATTGGTCAGTGAGGTGGGAGAAGTGGATAGGTGGGAGAGAAGATGGACAGGTTGTGTCAGGTCAAGGAGGCGGAGATGAGGCTGGGGAAGGGAAGATTTTGAAACTAGTAAAATCTGCGTTTAGGTCATTGGGCTGTAGGCTCCCAAGGCGGAATATGAGGTACTGCTCCTCCAGTTTGTTGGTGGCATAATTGTGACACTAGAGGAGGCCCAGGAAGTGGGAGGGGAGTTGAAATGGTTCGCGACTGGAAGCTGTTGTCGTTTGTAGTGAACAGAGCGCAGATGCTCTACAAAGCGGTCACTGAGCCTCCGCTTGGTCTCACCGACGTAGAGGAAGCCACTTTGGGAGCAGCAGATGCAGTAAACCATGTTGACGGATGTGCAAGTGAATCTCTGTCTGATGTGGAAGGTTTGTTTGGTGCCTTGAATGGAGGTGAGGGGGGAGGTGTAGGGGCAGGTGTAGCACTTCCTGCGGTTGCAGGGAAAAGTGCCAGGGGTGATGGGGTTAGTGGGGAGTGTGGACTGGATGAGAGCTGTCCCTACGGAAGGCAGATAGAGATGGGGAGAGAAATGTATCTTTGGTTGTGGGGTTGGATTGTAGGTATTGGAAGTGGCGGAGAATGATACGTTGGATAGGGAGGTTAGTGGGGTGATATGTGAGGACAAGGGAGATTCTGTCTTTATTTTTGTTGGGGGGAGGGGACGTGAGGGCAGAGGTGTGATGCTGATGACGTCACTAACTCTGCTGCCAACACCCAGCTCCAGCTCTACACCCACTCCCAGCCCCATGCCCTGCCCACACACCACCCCCCCGATCTCCCCCTTACTGAGGATGAACGGTCAGTCCCTCAGTAAAGGACTCACCTCCATTCCCCTCCACCCACACATCAATGAATACCGCTTACCCTTGGACACTTTTTCCGCAGCCTCTGTGCCTATTTCTTTAACCGTGAGTCTAACCCACCCACTACTGACCCCTTCTCTCACCTCCAACACACCCCCTCCTCCTGGACACCACCCCACGGCCTCGTACCCTCCCTCGACCTCTTCATCTCCAACTGCCGTCACGACATTGATTGCCTCAACCTCTCCACCCCTCTCACTCACTCCAACCTTTCCCCCACAGAATGTGCAGCCCTCCGCTCCAACTGCAACCTCACCATCAAACCCACAGATAAAGGGGGCGCAGTTATGGTATGGCGCACTGACCTTTACATCACCAAGGCCAGGCGCCAATTCTCTGACACCTCCTCCTACTGCCCCCTTGATCATGACCCCACCCCCGACCACCAAAACATCATCTCTCAAACCATTCACAACCTCATCACCTCAGGTGACCTCCCATCCACAGCCTCCAATCTCATCATCCTCCAACCTCATCATTCCCCAACCCCGCACCGCCCATTTCTATCTCCTTCCCAAAATCCACAAACCTGACTGCCCTGGTTGACCCATTGTCTCCATCTCCGCCTGCTCCTTCCCCATTGAACTTATCTCTGCTTACCTTGACTCTGTTTTATGCCCCCGGTCCAGGAACTCCCCACCTACGTCCGGGACACCACCTCCTCTAAGACTTCCAATTCCCTGGTCCCCAACCCCTCATCTTCACTATGGACTTCCAATCCCTGTACACTTGTATCCCCCATGCAGATGGCCTAAAAGCCCTCCGCTTCTTCCTCTCCCGCAGGCCCAACCAGTCCCCCTCAACCAACACCCTCATCCGCTTAACTGAACTCGTTCTTACCCTGAACAACTTTTCCTTTAATTCCTCCCACTTCCTACAGACTAAGGGGGTGGCCATGGGCCCAAGCTGTGCCTGCCTCTTCATTGGATACGTGGAACACTCCCTCTTCCACTGTTACACTGGCACTATCCCCCACCTCTTCCTCCGCTATATTGATGACTGTATCGGCGCTGCCTCGTGCTCCCACGCGGAGCTTGAACAGTTCATCAACTTTACTAACACCTTTCACCCCAACCTCAAGTTCACCTGGACTATTCCGATACCTCTCTCTCCTTCCTGGACCTCTCTGTCTCCATCTCTGGTGACCGCTTCAAAACCGACATCTATTTCAAGACTTCCACAGCTACCCAGACTACACCTCCTCTCACCCACCTTCCCCAGCCCCGCCCCTCCTTTCTATTTATTTCTGAGCTCCCTTCCCCTCCTCACCATCTTTGAAGAAGGGTCCTGACCAGAAATGTCAACTTTTCTGCTCCTCTGATGCCTGGCCTGCTGTGCTCCTCCAGCTCCACACTGTGTTATCTATAATACTGCAAAGTTGTTGGCTGATCAACCCTTACAAGATATGGTATCTAAAACTGAACACCTATCAATCCAGTGTCATCCTTGACAAACCACATAACAGACAACACTTTATCAAAACTGCAGAAGAAAATTAAAACCTGCAGTAACCTCAGTTCTGATGTGCCTCATGGGGCCCACAGGCCAAGACCCTAGGAACATCTTTAGTTACTGAGCAATAATGAAAACATATGCATTTATTTTGAATAATTTTTTCATGCAGAAATCTGTATGATATTTTGCATTCCTATATCTGACCTACAAACAATGTTTCCACTTGCGACATTCAAACTTATTGCGTCCTTAAGTGTGCTAATACCCAGCTCTACTTCAATACCAGGTTTCCCACTGCCTGTCTCTGATGTCTCACACTACTTGTCAGACTTCAGCAGAAAGTTCTTCCAACTGAAAATTTGGAAACTGAAGCCATTGTTTTCCTTCCTCATTACAATTTCAGTTGTTTTGCCACTGACTCAGTCCTTTCTCTGGAACTATTGAAGCATAATCCACAGTGCTCACAACCTTAGTACCACAGGTAATTCTAAAAAGAGTTTCCACCAGCGTATTCATTTCATCAATAAGGCCCTTTTATTTGGCCAACATAATATCTGATCAGCTGCTGCCACAAGTTAGTCTTGATAATTCTCTGAAGATTCTAGGATTTTGGGGTGGGGCTAGAAGACTGGAAAATTACAAATATCACGCCTTGTTCAAAAAAGGACATAAACATAGATCCAGCAATTACGGACCAGTCAGTTTAATTCAGATGGTGGGGGAGCTTCAAGAAACAATTATTCAGGATCGGATTAACAGTCACAGTTTAAAAAAAGGTTAATTTGGAAGAATCAACGTGCATTTGATGAATGAATATTGTGTGTAATAAACTCTTTGGAGTTTTTTGAAGAGGTAATGGAGTAGACGTAGTGTGCATGAACTCCCAGAAGCTGTTCAATACTTTTTAGGTATGTCTGATGCTGCTCCCTAACATGGCCTCTTCTGTCTCCATTGAAGTAGGGTTGATTCCCTGGCTTGATGGTAATGGATGAGTGGGGATATACTGGGAAATGCTGGACCATGAGGTTGCATATTGTGCTGGAGTATAATTCTGCTGCTGTTGATGGTTCACCATGCCTCATGAATGCCCAGTGTTGAGTTGCTAGATCTGATATTTTGGACCAGCTGAATGTAACAAAGCTTTGGAGCTGTGCGTATTGTCAATGTTGCATTCTCTCAGAATTCTGATTTCTGCATCACTATGAATTCTTACAAAAATTATTCATCATCCTGTAGATTTTGCTACAAACAAACAATATTAGCAATGTGTATTAAGTCTATTAGTTTGACTTTGAATAGAACATAGCCTATTATCTCTGATATTGTAAGGTTTTGGTAATTTTGAAAAAAGAACCAAAGAACCTCAGATGCTGGAAATCAGAAATAAAAGCAGAAATTGCTGGGGGAAAAAAATCAGCAGGTCTGGCAGCTTCTGTGGAGAGAAATCAGAGTTAATATTTCAGATCCAGTGATCCTTTTTCAGAACTGATTTTGGCTTGGAAAAGGCTAGTATATACAGTAGGAACTGCCAATGCTGGAGTCTGAGATAACAAGGTGTAGAGCTGGATGAACACAGCAGGCCAGGCAGCATCAGAGGAGCAGGAAAGCTGATGTTTCAAGTCTGGACCCTTCTTCAGAAATTTCTCACAGTCCCAGGGACCCGGGTTCAATTCCACCCTTGGGCGACTGTCTGTGTGGAGTTTGCGCATTCTCCCCGTGTCTGCCTGGGTTTTCTCTGGGGTGCTCCAGTTTCCTCCCACAGTCCAAAGATGTACGGGCTAGGTGGATTGGCCATGCTAAATTGCCCATAGTGTTCAGGGATGTGTAGATTAGATGGATCATTTGGGGATGGGTCTGGGTGGGATATTCTGAGGGTTGGTGTGAACTTATTGGGCCGAAGGGCCCGTTTCCAAACTGTAGGGATTTGATGATGATGATGATGATGATGATTACTACCTGAATGGCTATAAATTGGGAGAGGAGAATGTACAGTGGGACCGGGCTGTCCTTGTCCACCAGTCACTGAAGGTAAGCACACAGGCGCAGGAGGCAGTAAAGAAGACAAATGGTATATTGGCCTTCATTGTGAGAGGTTTCGAGTACTGCAGCAGGGATGTGTTGTTGCAGTTGTACGAAACCACACCTAGAATAGTGTGAGATAACCAGGTGTAGAGCAGCAGGCCAAGCAGCATCAGAGGAGCAGGAAAGCTG